GTGTTTTTTTTTTTTTTTTTGTCAGGAGGAAATCGCCGGACTTCCGCCCTTCACTGGGGATGGAGGGCGGGGCATGTCGGAGTCGAACCGACTAAAACCTCCTGTCTCTCAACAACCAACGTCCAAACCTCGCATGAGACAAAACTCATGCGGCAACGACAAGTCGTTTCCTATTTTTGCGACGAGGACACGGCGCCACCCCTCCCATGCGGGGCAGGCGACGAGCGTGTGCTCCGCCGTGTCCAAGTCGCAACCACAATGGTGGCACTCTGCCGTCGGCTCGGCTCCGATCCGGTGCAGGAACTCACCGAAGCAACCATGCCCAGTGAGCACCTGCGTGAGCCGGAAAGTGAGGCGTCCTCTGTCACGATTCACCCAGTTCACAAGAACCGGGCGAATCGCCTCGACGGTCCTACGACCAGCCGAAGGATCGGCCAGCCGTCTAGACCATGACTCCAGTACGGACCGCCGAGATTGGGCCCTCCGCGCTCTGACCACACTGGGGCTGGGACGCGCCACGCCCCGTACACGAAGGTCAGCCCGCCACTGATAGTCAGCAGCGAGCGCCTCCGCCTCCAGGACCCAAGGCGGCGTCCCAGCCAGTACACACGCCGCCTCGAAAGAGATGGTGCGATAACCACGGATGACCCTGACCGCGATGGTGCGTTGCGGCCGTTGCAGCAGCTTCGCTACCCCCACGGCCAGGGACTGGCCCCACACGGGCGCCCCGTATAGGGCCATTGATCGCACCACCCCTGTATAGAGACGGCGCGTCACCTGGTCAGGCCCCCCAACATTGGGAAGGAGCCGGCTTAACGCGCCGGCCACCCCCAACAAACGAGGGACCAGATTCTGAAAGTGAGCACGGAAGGTCCAACGACTGTCTAGAATGAGGCCGAGGTACTTCGAGTACATGATACTTGAGTACGATAGTAGATTTTGTTTGTTTCTATTGCTTAGATGGCGGGCTCATGCCCCATTAGGTGTTACTTCATTACCGGAGCCAAACACAATAACGTGAAGGCCACCACTCATCTTTAGACAAAGGTTCCAAGTCTCAGTTTTACAGTCCTACGACTACGTCACTCATCAAACCGAAACGCATTATTTATTCACGACAGAAATAGGTAATGTGGTGGTACCTACACGTGTAGACTCAGAAGACACACCATTACTAATAAAAGAATCTTATGTTTCACCTTCTAATGATAGAGCATATTAAGAGACGTGTGTACAAGGAAATCAAGCATGTAGACTATGCAAGCTGTTATTCGTCCCGGTACGAAGAGTAGGGTAGTCGATTTTTTTTCTTCCTACGCTGTTAGCCTTGAGAGGCTATTTCAGCTTCGCCCTAACGTGTAGGTGAGCTGACGGGGCTAAAACCGGAGTGTTGCTAACACTGGCCCTAGCAAGAGCAGTGCTTCGCAGGATCTACCACCGGATCGGAAACGCGATCCACTGAGAAGATCCGGCGAGAAACTCAGTGGGCTGTGTCTATGGGGGTACTCAATACATTTCAAACTTCGACCTAAAATCCGAAAGTGGCTGGCGACATTCAAATTGTGACTTTTACGGGCCCAAATAAAAGCCAAGAAAGAAAAAAATATAAAGGTTCGCTTTGTTCTATTCAATTGAACGCGTCACCTTATCCCCTCTTTAACATGAATGGTTATTAAAAATCATCTATTCCAAACTTACCACCGAACAATGTAGAAGTCGCATAATTATAAATCGAAGTGGCAACTCCCGCTGAGTTCTCGACGGAAACCCGAATCTGGTACCACTGGGCGGCGTTCAAATCTCCGATCACGAATGAGTTCGGCTGATTTAGTATCGAGGACATGTAATTCCATTGTTGTTCTATGGGAGGCTGAAAAAAGTCTCTAATTGCTTTATAACCTTAACTTGTGGAGAGGTTAACGGTAGACAGCGGCTTGGCTCTGATACTGTACTGCTGATGTCCATTAGCGATGGTAACCACTCACTATGAGGTAGGCCATATGCTCGTCTGCCTAAAAACGCAATAAAAAAAGAACTTATTCGGAACAGTAGGATCCTGTACTCAATTATCTTCTCACTTCATAATAAAGGCGAAAACTCTAGCTTGGGGTGTGAAATGATTACCATTATACTATCGAGGTTAATGGTAAGAGGTCTCGTGAACGAATTCCCATGCGCTGGACTGATCAGGTGAAAGAGGTTACTGAAACCCCTCTTAACGAGTGCATGCGCCAAGCCTCAGTCCGCAAACTATGGAAAACATCTGTCAAAGCTTTACTGAACAAGAATTCCACATGACCACGATTGCTCTACCAAGAGCAACCGACTATGATGATGATACTGTCAAGAATATTTGTCGATCCACTAGTGCGTTCGTTTCTGTTTTATGATCTATTAAACTATTTGAACTTTGTGCAGTTGATGTTAGTGTTGATTACTTAATGAACTTTGATGTATATGTTGATTACTTATTGAACTTTGATATAGATGTTCATTACTTATTGAACTCTGTGCAGTTGTTGTTTTTGCTGCTTGCACTATACTGATACCTTAGGACTTATGTCTCAAAGTGGGTGGCAAAATTTACGTTGTAGATGTATATGGGCTCCAGTAACCACTTAACATCAGGTGGGCTGTGAGCTCGTCTACCCATCTAATCAATCCAATAAATAAAAATAAAAAACACTGATTCATCAAAGATATAAATTAAAAGAAACAATTTAGTGTTTCATTAGTAACAATCTATACATATAAATAAAATTGGAGTGTCTGTTTGTAGTATTGAAATAACCGCTTTTTACTACATTCATATATGAATAAATATACGGTACATACACCAAAATAACATTTTTACAATTTTTGTCTGTATGTCTGAGACTTTCACTAATAGGTAGCTGATGATATAAGGAGTAACTTAGGCAATTTTTTTTAGACTAGCTTCGTCCCGCGGCGTCACCCGCAGTTATTGTCATATCGCGCGCAACATGGCGGGACTCGCTTATCAATAATAAAATTGAATGTTTCCGAACCGAAGCGAAGGCGGGTCGCTAGACTTAAATAAAATTGTTGAAATTCCGGTATCATAGATAAATTTTACGAACAATTCCAGTATCCACCCGTCTCCAACTCTTCGATCCGTACTCCCGGTAATCGACTTCGAATCTTGTGATCTCGCAGCCGTTGTCATCCCAACCACTGAGCTGTATGTATATGTGGGTAGCATTGCTCCAAAACCATTCGGTGCTTGATGGAGCAATAGGCACTGGAAGATAATTTAGGAAAATTGTAAGACCAGTAAAGAAGGTCCTTCTAGTAAACTAACTTAACTACCTTCGAATTAACTATCTTAACTACCTTATACTAAACAAATTTATAGCAAATGAGATATTAAAATAATTGGTACACTAGATTATTTAAAACAGGTCGTAAAATACACAGGAGTAAAGATTCAAATATTAAAAACTTCAAGGAAGTCAAAGGACTGTTACAAATAAAACATTGAATTGAAAAACTTATAATTAGACACGGCGATAACGATCTATGATCCGTGAGGCCTGTAATACGTGCCTCAAAAACTGTCTCAAGCATTTGATCTAAAAGCCACAAAATACTGAACTCACCACCACCCAAAGTACTGGCGTCAAAGTAGGCCGGCTGTGAAGACCCAACGCTATTAGCAGCGGTGATCCTCAGAGAGTACTTGGTACCGCACTTTAGTCCTTGTAATGTGTACTCTTGTATCCCTTGCAGCGTCGTCCCGCGACTGGACCAAGCGTCCTGCCAGGAACCGTCGGCTTCTTTCCATGTCAAGTTGTAACCTAAATAAATATTTGCCTTTTTGAAGTGAAACTTCTTTAGATCATCATCATCATCATTATCCTTCATGTTTTCTTCTTCCATACTCTTCTATCATATACCATTTCTTCGCTCACTCCCCTCTTACCCATATCGTCTTTCATGCAATCCATCCATTTTTCTTAGGTCTACCTCTTCCTCTATATCCTTCCACATTCATAGTTAACACTCTCTTACCAACCTCATTTTCACTTCGTCTCATCACATGTCTATACCATCCCAAACGCGCACTCCTCAGCTTCTCTGTCACAGGTGCCACTTTCAGACTTCCTCTAACATATTCATTCCGTATTCTATCCATTTTCGTTACTCCACACATCCATCGCAACATTCGCATCTCTGCTGCATGCAATCGCCTTTCATCCGAAACTTCTTTAGAATCGTTGTGATTTCAAACTCGATGAAACGAAAAAATAAGTCCATAGAGACACAAACGCATAAACGTATAGGATACAGCCGGCGAGAGAATGAGATGGAACACATTAGACGTTTTCGGTCTCCTCTTTGTGCGACTCTTCGTAGCATCCCCACTATCGTCTACTAAACATTGTCCATATGTATGCTCCTATGTAGTGGACACTTCTACCATGTGTGACTTGCACACACACAATTTTTTTTTATTAGGATCTATAAGAAAATGAGCCAACACTCAGCATCTTTAGATAATATTGCAAAATTCTCAACATTGCTGCAATAATAAATATAGTTAGGAGCTATAACCTTTTTTTTAACACGTTGACTCCCATGTAGGTCACCGGTGCCCTACGCGGCGCACTGAAGTAATTATATCGATTTCTGTTACTAAACGCCTGGATTGCCTAACTTTGCCTTCTTTTGTTTGTTAATGTACGTGTTTTAATCTTTTAGGTCTCTTAAACATAGATTCATTCTCAGTATCTTCTGATTCGTCTTTCCCAGAGTCTATTAGATATTTATTTATTTTTATTTATTTATTAGGCACACAATACACATCCAAAGCTAAAAAGATACACAAAAAATAACTAAATAAAAAAAATCTGGCTTGCAACATAAGCCATATTCGCACGACTGAGCAAGACAAATTCTAATGTGCTGAGTTTGTACACAATGGTCCTTACAACTATACAACAAAAAAACACGATAACGAAAATCAATCTAACTTATAATCTATGGAAATAATTTTACTCACAAATTAAACAATTACACTACTTATCCCACTATTAACATAGAGGATACTCTTGAACATTTTTTTTATATAAAGTCACTAACCTACAAGTAATTCCGGTGCCTTAATAAGAAGATTAAAGAGAGAAACTTGTTGAGAGAAAGAGAGAGAGGCTTGTCCCAGCAATACGCGTAACTTACTGATTTTCTGCGCTTTTCCCGCTATTTTTCTAGGAGGATCCCATTGTAATTGTAGAGAATCCTTGTGCGCTGTAATCCTTAAGGTCGGAGGCTCTGGCGTCGGTAGTACTGTCACTTCATACGAAACGGAATCAGAGCCGTATAGATTTTTCGCTAGGCATGTGTAGTTGCCACTTAGAGTTTGGTCGATATCTGAAAAAGATAGTTTTATACACCGTAAGCCACTTATTGAAGTTATACTTCTTTTGGCTCGTTATGAAAAATTTATGAGACGGAAATTTTACGATCCGCGCGCACCGTGACACAAAATTAGCAGAATGAAGTTGCCCACTAAATCGCTCATTACAATACGACCGACGTAACTTGGCGAGTCTGAATATAGCCGCAGGTGAACTTTCCGAACCGTACCGAGAATTACCGAATTTATACGATGTCAAGAAAAGGGATGTCCAATATGCGTGTTTGAGAGTGTTGTTTAATCGTTTTTTTTTCAAATTGATTAAAATTTAAATAAAAAAATATATAATTTAATAAAAATAAGGTATAACTTCTTACGCGCGTACATAAGTACACGCACCCTCTTTTTTATTATTTTGACAGGTTCAAGGCTATTTGGCATTTGCAAAGCGACATTTTTGTTACTTTACAGTTTGTTCTTGCATGTGAATTTTCAACCTGTATCACGTTTGTGATTTTGGGTGGTTAGTGACTTATGCCGTTAAAATATGAAATACTGATAAATGATTTTAGTTTTTTTGGAACAAAATTCCTTATGGGACGATGCGGAGGGGTACCTTAACCGGGAAAAAACGTCCGTAACGTAAGATTTTTATTATTAATGCACACAGTGTACGACTTAACTTTGCAATAACGTACAAATTAGTAATGAACATAGTGTACGACTTAACTTTGTAATAACGTACAAAAAATAACATACTTTTTTATCATTCATTGACCACGATCTCAGAGCGTTCGTTTGCGCAATACACTAACTCTTATGCAAACAACCGTGAATGAAGTGTACCACAATAAGTTCGCACGTTACCGAATGGCTGTGGGTTGTTGCGAAGCCTCCAGTTTTATTTTCTTCATACCTCGAATAGAACTTAAAATTAATATTTTTATAATAAGGAACTTCGTTTCTTTTTCATATTTTTTTTTAATATTGAATTGTCATCGGTTGTTAATAAGTATACCACATTTCGAGTTAATCCGACGTTTTGAAGGGGGTCAAAATCATGTTCAAAGATTCCGTTACAAACATACATACGTCTGAAGCTAATAAAAGCGTATTAAAAATGCAGTCCTTAACATAACTATATAGTTGCCGATTCCAATAAGCATCAGCGACTTCAAGGGCAGATTCAACTCGTTGCCAACTAACTTTAAAGAGGAAAAAATACGTACTGTTAATGAGTAAGCTGTCATCGTGGTTTCTCGTGTATCTGGGATGATGGGTTATGATGTGGTGGTGTCTGTACCACACGGTACGTGGTGCCGGTACGCCCACACACGTGCACGCCAACAGCACAGAGCTCCCCGCGCCTGCCGCTACCCAGCCACCCAGTGATGAGACTCCTGCTACCACTGGATAAAACATAGCGTTTAAATTTGCGTAATTACTGGTGGTAGGACCTCTTGTGAGTCCGCACAGGTAGGTACCACCTTTTTTTATTGCTTAGATGGGTGAACGAGCTCACAGGCCACCTGGTGTTAAGTGGTTACTGGAGCCCATAGACATTCACAGCGTAAATACGCCACCCACCTTGAGATATAAGTTCTAAGGACTCAGTATACTTACAACGGCTGCCCCACCCTTCAAACCGAAACGTATTACTGCTTCACGGCAGAAGTAGGCGGGGTGGTGGTACTCACCCGCGCGGACTCACAAGAGCTCTTACCACCAGTAATTACGCAAATTATAATTTTGCGGGTTTCATTTTTATTACACGATGTTATTCCTTCACCGTGGAAGTCAATCGTGAAAATTTGTTGAGTACGTATTTCATTAGAAAAATTGGTACCCGCCTGCGAGATTCGAACACCGGTGCATCGCTCAACACGAATGCACCGGACGTCTTATCCGTTAGGCCACGACGACTTCAAAGGTCTCAGTATAGTTACAACGGCTACCCCACCCTTCGAACCGAAATGCATTACTGCTTCACGACAGAAATAGCCAGGGTGGAGGTACCTACTCGCGCGGACTCACAAAACGTCCTACCACCAGTAAAAGTGCCTATTTCTGCCGTGAAAGTTGGGGCAGCCATTGAAAGTATACTTGAGACCTTAGAACTCATATCTCAAGGTGGGTGGCGCATTTACGTTGTAGATGTCTATGGGCTCCAGTAACCACTTAACACCAGGTGGGCTGTGAGCTCGTTCACCCATCTAAGCAGTAAATATATTTTAGTTTCAGTGATGTCCAATCAAAATTTATTCATGCAAGAAACAAACCTTTAGCAGATAAATCAGCATGGACTCTCCTACTCGGAGTTCCTTCCCCTGCCGTTGTATGGGCACGAACGAACACCTCGTACTGTCTCCCAGTGATCAGTCCAGTTATAGAATAGGATGACTCTCGTGTCAGAGTGGATTCGTGTGTCGCATCCACCCTATAACTCTGCGGAGCATTGGTACTGAAAGGTAGAGATGCAAATGTACGCCAATGGCTCTATGTTTTTCGAACGTTGGCACGGATTCCTTTACACAGTTTCGATAAAACCGACACCCGACGGCCAACTACCAACGTTCGCTTCAACGTTGGGGCCAATACTAGTTTTTAGATCCACACGTTGGGCGAGTGGCGTTGGGGCCTATGTTGGGGCCAACGTGTGGAGCCGACGTAATACTCGATATTTTCAATAATTTAACAATGGAATCGAATACATTTACTAATAAAACTCGAAAATAACCTAAATTGAACTTGGAACAAATTTAATGTTTTTAGATCAGTGGTTTTTTGAACAATACGAGAATGGCTTACGCAATCTGTGGTTCCAAATTCCAAGTAAAGTAATTAAAACCCTCAAAAATTGCTGTCACTAGCAGAATTTTCTACAAAAACCTCTACACAATTTAAGAAGCAGTAGTTTAAGCTAATTTTTCGTTTAAAAAAAAGTACTATTGTATATTAAATCCCTGGTTTCCGTCACTAAAGCAAAATGAAACTAATCTTTATAAACCAATTGACTACGATAAACACTCAACATCAGATGGAAAATATATAAAATCAGAGTGGTTATTTAGTATCTATATATGTATATAATATTTTAGCATTTGCTTTACCTGGAAACTGGCTTAACGTGAACAGTGTAATGCGTGATCTCGCCATTCGGTTGCTCTGGCCTCTTCCAGCTGACGAGCAAGGATGTGGATGACGATACCAGTACTTTAATCAATGGAGGGGGTCCGGGAACTGTGTTATGCAAAAAGAAACAGAAGAAAACTGGACGTAAATAAATAGATATTTTTCGGATTGAGCTTTAGCAAATTTTTTATAGTCTGTAGCAAAACTTGTTTCTAGATTTTATTGACCACTATTGAATCTTTATTTTTCGCAATAATGAAATAACACTTTTTTTAAACATAATATTATTATCCGCAATACGCTTCGTCAGATTATAGAAACAGAGTTATCAGCAACATGCTTATAGACTCATTTTAGTGTTCCCCTCCACGGAAATCTTTAGTAAAAGGCGAAAGATTTATACGTTTTGAAGGGAAACCAGAGATTTTATTGAGTCAATATTACATAAGTACACAAAATAGTTGTGTGTATCTTATTTACTTACTATGACAAGTGGCACTAACAAAACATGCTGTTGATTTTGCAAGGGTTTTCCCTTTTAGATACGCAAATTAAGAAAGGAATTAGTGAAAGGTCTTTGTTAATAGATTGATGATTGACCTGCTATGAACGAATGATAGATTAATTACTAATTTGTCAGAAAGATATCCTATTTAAAAATGGCTAGTTATCAATATTTGTAATTTCAATTTTGTTTTCAATAGCCAAAGCTATGCACATTAATATGGTTTTGCTGAGTGCACATACTTTTTAGATTGCAATCCAGATTAGATCTAGGTACTACTTGTACGATTTAGCTAATATGTACTGTAATGATTGTAATTTGTCTTGTGCATTAAAAAGTAAAAAAAAAACTCTAAATTTCACATATCGCTATCTTCTTTAATTTTGTTTTTTATTACATATCTAAGTACCTGCTAGTTCACTACAACAGGTGGAAGAGCCGATCGGACTCAGTCTGTAAGAATGTTCTAACATCTACCCTATCAAGATCATTACTTCGCTAAATCTTCCAACGGATCGGAATCGCGACCCACTGAGAAGATCCACGAAAAAGCTCAGTGGATTGTAACTTTTATTTAATCTATCACCGGTTACTAAATTTTTGGCAACAAACATAATAACGTAATCTTCAGTTAAAATTTTCTACTTACCATCCTGTAGCGTAATACAAATGATCGGATAAGAGAATGGTCCCAGTCCGTAGTTAGAGAATCCTGCCACTTTCACTGAGTAATTCGTGTATTTCAACAATCCCTGGATATACAATTCCGTGTGCGGTGTGCTTGTGTTCGACCACAAACCATCTGTAACAAAAGCTAATTTAGAACTTATAAATATAGAAGTAACTGTAGAAACTGTATATGATAGAAGAGTATGTAAGGAGAAAACATGTTGCGCCGACCCCATATGACTGGGAGAAGGGCAGGAGAATGATGATATGGTTTTTGCAACAAATTTAGTTTCTATTAGCCGAGAAACTTACCTTCAGTACTGTAGTACACGAAATAGCCGAGTAAAGAACTTCCACGTGAATTTATCTGTTGCCAGCTGACTCTCAATGACGTGGATGAAACTCCTCTGCATTCCACACCAGATGGAGCTTGTTCTGGCGCTGAAATTTCATAAAAATAGCCTTTTAGGATGCTTAAATAAAAGCAGCTCTACTAAATAAAATAAAAAAATGTTTATTTTAATGTAAAAATATACAATCTGTTTTCTTATGGCGGGGATCATGGCCTCCTGGATTTTTTTGGACGCGTGATGGAAGCAAAGGTTTAATGAATGCTGGTTTAACTCTGTCGCCACTAACAACAACGTTCCTGCCCTTAACATCTATAGTTAGTGTTTTATCATCACTGGCTCGCTCAAACACTTGATGTGGGCCAGTATAAGGAGTCTGCAAGAGGCGTCTAACAGAATCATTACATCGGGGTCACAATTTTAGGACGCTTAAATAAAAGCGGCTCTAAATCAAATAATAAAATGTTTATTTTTATGTAAAAATGTACAATCTGTTTTCTTATGGCGGAGATCATGGCCAGGGGGGTGCAACTCCCATACAAAGGAAAATAACATACAACTAGCGTCATCTTACTCCTGTGGCGACGTCATTTTTGTAACTTTTAGGCATTAATGATCTAATAAACTCACTAGATGGCAGATATGAGTTCTGACTCAATAAAAAATGTAGCGTACTTTGAAGCAGTGCTTCCACTTTTAGGGAATTCTCCCTTTTTTAGGGAAAAATAGCTGATATTTTGGATGATAAAGACAATTTAAAAAATACCAGGATTTAGGATATTTCGGGGTAAAAAGCAAAGCCTATACTAGTAACTGTTGTGAATTTTAAAATAAACGATAATTAAAGTAAAACAATGAACATTTTATTTTATGGAGAGAGAATGACATTAAGTCGAGTTGACAAGTAAAAGAATAAAACAGAGTTGTGTATAAAAACTATAAAGAAGGTTTGATTCAACAGTAACCCTCTAGTAAAGTAAATCATAGATTAAGCCACTGCTTTTTTCTTAGGGATTCCCCAGAATCCCAATAAGTATAATCCGCCAAATTTTTATTTACCTATTTTCGTTGATGTCACCAGAACTTACTTGTATTGTAATATACAGGTACTTCATGTACCATGAAAGATTATCATGGTAATTTCATTTACGAAAACCTTGTAATTGTCATTTCACTTTTGCTAGCAGTTCCTTCTTCAAAGACTGAGGTGGAAAGATTATTCAGTGTTCTCAAATGTAAAAACTGACAAAAGAAACAGGCTTTCTAATGAAACCCTGAACGGCTTGCTTCATAGAAAGTTCCCAACTTTGCCAGCAAACAATTGCTCAATTTTAGAACCGAACAGTGTTAGGTTGCGTGCAGCAAAAGAATATAAAAGCAATGCGTCGACTTCCTTGAAAATTCTAATCCTATAGATCTATGATCTTCTGGGGGCGTTTATATTATATATACCTACATTAAATAATATGCTGTGGTTTATTTTCTGTATTTTATTTATGCTTTCTATAAAAGGATTTATGAAAGTTGTCTAGGAAATTTTAGGGATAAATTCAAAAGAAACTAGGGTAAAATGTGTTAAAAAAACGTAAGTGGAAACACTGCTTTGAAGTTTTCAAAATTCCAGGGCCGTAAAACAATCTAAAAAAAAAAAAAAGTTTTCAAAATGTCGTAACGATTTAATTTTTTAAATCGTTTTTTTTTGGTCTTGGTGTGAGTTATTTTACGTTGTAGTATTAATTTAGAGCAACTTTTAGCTTTATGAGAATATTAGACGATTAGACATTGAGAAACTCTGTTTTGAATTCTCTTTAGACATAACTTGGCTCCAATACTTTTTTCTTCGTTAGCGTTTCGTAAGCCTGTGTAACTATTTTCATTTCTTACAGAAAGTTTATTATTAAAAATCAGCATGCCTCGAAGATCGAAAATGAAATGCTATTTCGGATGCCTTGATAACGGTGAGTTTACACTATTTTCCCGGTATATTATTTGCTAACAGAATTATTATTCATAATATAATTAAATGAATTAGCACCAACTAATGGTCCTTCCTATTTCTGCTGCCTAGCTATCATATATGTTAAGTTTTGATCAAAACAGTCGGTATTAAGTCTCGTACTATCACACACACACCTCAGATAATAAAATTGTCTCGAGTGGGTGGAAGTATTTATGTTTTGCAACTCAGCGTATTATATGCTTATTGTCAAGTGGGCCCGAACTAGTTTTTTGGAATGATCAATCAGTCATGCTTTCCTGTTTAAATAAAATACAGCACAATTGATCTCACATCCAAAGTTAGATGATGGCATTCACGTTTTGTTTCCTGGTGTTTGATAACTAAGTTACACCAAGTGGCCTGTGACCACGTTCATCCTTCTACCCAATATAAAATAATGTTTTTATTTTTGTAGACAAAGGTTTGATAATGACAAAATTTTATGGAAAAATTATAAGGAGCACTAAAATGTCTGAAACATGAAAAGATTGATGCACTATATTTGAACCAGAACGTGTTATGTAATATATTAATTTGTAAGTAAGATTACATTAACACTAAATTTTTCATGGTCGTATTTTTTCAATATTTGTTACATACTTAAGATACTTTGTTTCTCCGTTTCAGAAGAGAAACTGATTCAGCAAGGAACGTGAACTCTCAAGGGATCTTAATTTTTTTTAAATATGTTTATAATTGATAAATTAATAATTGAAATAGTTCATAAGAACTAAATTGATGCCAATTTTGTTTTAAAATAGGTTGTTTAGTTCTTATAGTTATAGTATTACGTTTGAATAGTTGTAATTAGTAAGTTAGTAATATATGAAAATACTGATATAAATTTTTGTAAATAACCTTTTGTAAATTCTACGAGAAGATGATTTTAATTAATGATCAAAAGTCAACGGTCTTTAAAAGCATTATTTGCAATTATTTAGATTAACTGTGGAATATATTTGCTAAGTTGTGTTTTCTGTATGAGCAGATATAAATGAAAATGCCCAAACATGATTATGTTTCTTACATTTTCATTATGTGAAATCAATATGCTTGTGACTGAGTATATTAATAATTTATTAAAACTTAAGTGATAGACAGCAACCCCTATGGCACTGCTGAAGTTTATAAGCACTGGTGACCACTTATCATGGGCCGGGTTGCGTGCTCGTCTGCTGTTGAGTGCAATAAAAATTTTCGAAACCCTTTCTATTATTTAGATGTAATATTAGTGTACATTTAATTTGGATTAAAAGATAAATTTACATTTTATGTTTGCATGTGTATGTTTATAATTCATTTGCATGTAACGAACACCAGTTTCTTTTGTAACAAAATGTAAACTAATGGTTTGTAATGAATGTAATTAACTTTAAGATGATTTTCTTTCAATCTGCTGTTTGTTTCATCTAGTATTACCAAAGCTAAAGCATCAGAAACGTCAGAATAGAAATAATTTAGATAGGGAATAAAAGTATAACTAATGTAATCATGTCTAAGATTACTATAAGCGTCATTAAGTACAAACTATCAATATTTAAGAGTACTTTAAATCATCATTACATTTTTTAAACATTTTTTGTTTTTCAAATCATGTAATAAAACGTTTGTGCAGAACAAAATGTCACATGTTATGAACATGATTGTGGGTTAATCGTTTCTTAAATTTCTAAATGTTTATAAGAATGCTAAGAATAATTTAGTATTCACTTTAGTGTGTGTATTATCTCTACAATGCTAGTATAAATGACAATTATTGTATGACGAAGCATAGGTAGTGTTTATAGATGTAATATTTTCATACAAGGTCATGATCTGTCACGATCAACTTTAAGCAAGAACTGCTATAGTTAAGAAACAAATTTATTAAATTTAATTCAAATTGTCTACTATGTTTGTAATGGAAAGCTGACATGTTTATATTTCGCACAAATGACTTAAGTGACATTGAATGATTTGATTATCTAGACTTAATTAACTTTTAGATAACTTTCGATTTAATGTTATTAAGTACTCTAGTAGGATTAATCTAGAGGAGTTATTGTTATTCGAAATTTTATACAATTGTACGTTCATACTATCTTTTAACAGTAAATTGTTTGTAATATAGGGAAATTAAATAGCTTACAGAGAATTACAGCTTTTTATTTAAAAAAACTGTTTTCTCTCTGTATGAAAAGGTCTTATCGATTAGAATGCTGAACACAATCAAACGTTCTTTAATATTTCATAAGTACTACCGGGAATTTCAGCGATTCTAAACGATAAGATTTTTTCATAAAGAGAGTTAATTATAAAAAATATTAAAATTACTAAAAAAGCCACCTGGTGGGGGGTAGGGAGACTAATAATCGACAGCAGCGACGCCTGCTGTCCCGGGCTCTAACTAAAGCAAAAATAAAAATGAGAGTTGCGCATCTATCTCAAATATATTAAGTGTATAATCTATGATCATGGCCTCCTGGATTTTTTTGGCCGCGCATGCGCGTGACTGCCTAGATATAAAATTTATTCAAATTATATTTCGGAAGACCTACCTCCTTCTCTAGTCGTTTGATAGACTGGCACAGAGAATGGTCCGTTCCCTGCTGAATTAAAAGCACTCACTGAAACTCCGTACCTGAAATTGCACCTAGTTAATGAAAATCTCGCCTAAAATTGCATCACACTAGTACTAAATAAGTACTAAAATATGGCGCGTAATTATGGTCATAAATTTTTTCAAAATTAGTTTTTATGTCAGTTTTCCTCATTAATAAAATATTCGTGTAATTAAAATCAAACCCGCAAAATTATAATTTGCGTAATTACTGGTGCTAGGACGTCTTAATGTGGGTCCGCACGGGAAGGTACCACTGCCCTGCTTATTTCTGCCGTGAAGCAGTAATGCGTTTGGGTTTTCATGGTGGGGCAGTCGTTGTACTGTAAAAACGGCGACCTTAGAACCCATGTTTATGCCTCAAGATGGGTGGCGGCATTTACTTTGTAAATATCTATGGGCTCCGGTAACCACTCAGCTGGGCCGTGAGCTGGTCCACCCACCTGAGCAATAAAAAAAATATTTTATTTTTATTTTATAAACAACCTTATTTCTCTTAGCTATAAAAATCATTCGTGAACCACTGCTTAACGTATTTTTAAAAGCGATTGATATATCCCCCCAAGGATTTGTAATATTAAATCATTCAATACGTGCACACTGGGCGTCTAAGAGTACGGATATTTCACTTAAACAACTCACTTTCATAATGTCATTAAAACCGTACCTCACGTTTTTGAGTAGATCACCCAGAACTGTTTCCTGTTTGCCGTTCCTTGCGATTACTTTTATCATTTTCGTTTGAGACTCATTCGGAGCTGCAATTAAACAGGATTTTTCTATATTTCTTTGATCACTAACACCTACCTTCATGCCATTCAAGACCTAACATTCCTAAGGAAGGATGACTTTAGTTATCAATTAACGCGTTTGATCTTTAGCTATAGGTTGAGTTGATAATTCTTCACGGCTTAACGAAAAAATGCTTTAGTTTTAACCTTAGCCAAAATTATTAAGAGCAGTCTTGATTATTTTCCTCTAACCTTCTTATTGAAAAGCAATAAACAGCCTTTTCTTTCTCTTTTTACGCTGATAGCCTTGCGAAGCTATTTTAGTTTCACCTTGACGTGTAGGTGAGCTCACGGGACTCAAGCCGGGAATGTTGCTAACACTGGCCCTAGCAAGAGCAGTGCTTCGCAGAATCTACCGCCGGATCGGAAACGCGACCCACTGAGAAGATCCGTCGAGAAACTCAGTGGGCTGTGTCTGTGGGTTAATTTACTCGTCAAGCCCTTCGTCGCAAGCGACGGGTTCGACGAGAACGGTGACCGGTGCTTCTGGTAGCTAAAAGCACCAATTAACATATTTCTTATTTCAAATACAAATAATCTCTGGACCATTGATTTTCAAAGTGACAAATATGACATACATCCAGTTTCATCATCAAAAGCTTGTCTTACTGATTAAGGGTATCTGATATATAATAAAAGTTTCCACAAAATAAATGTAGACGACATTTGGGGTAGTGGAAACTTACATCCAGGAATTACTAAGAAGATCTTAAGGTTCTTCGAAATCATTTTATTTGGAGGTCTGGAACTCCAAAAAATCATTCCTTTGATACTGTTTTTGGGTCTATAAATTTTACAAACCTTTTGTACGTAATTTACCTAAGTACTATATAGTAAGTTCTGTACTAAAGTAAGCTTTGTAAGTACTATATCGTTATTCTTACCTGAATCCCCGCTAATAAATGGCACGGCCTTTACGTGATATCCCTGTAAAGGTCCATTATGTGTGTCCCGGGGCGGTGACTGCCAACGAATCATTAGTTCTCCAGGAGAATCAGACTGTTGCACTTGTACTCCCATGGGAGCTGACGAGGGCGCTACAAAACCCAAAGGAATATCATCATAGGAGGGTTTTGAATCAGAAATACATATTATGGTATATTTACAGTTTCTGCTGCTAAAATACAAAAATAAATTATCTAATTCTAAGATATGACTAATGAAAACCGGGATTGGCCAATCGAAACTAAATTAAACAAGATCTATTATGATTTATTCCGAATTTTCAGATTTATATCCTTCGCAGAGATGGGTAATAATATGAAACAACGCAATGACAGACCATTGAACTTGGCGCATAGACATCAACCCAGCGAAAAGTACTGCGGTGCTATTTCAGAGCGGAAGCTCCACACGGATTTCCTCCCGTATTAGGAGGAGGAATCTCACACCCCCGATTACTCTCTTTAGTCAATCCATACCCTGGGCCAGGAAGGTCAAGTACCTGGGCGTTACCCTGGATGCATCGATGACATTCCGCCCGCATATAAAATCAGTCCGTGACCGTGCCGCGTTTATTCTCAGTAGACTCTACCCCATGATCTGTAAGCGGAGTAAAATGTCCCTTCGGAACAAGGTGACACTTTACAAAACTTGCATAAGGCCCGTCATGACTTACGCGAGTGTGGTGTTCGCTCACGCGGCCCGCACACACATAGACACCCTTCAATCTCTACAATCCCGCTTTTGCAGGTTAGCCGTCGGAGCTCCGTGGTTCGTGAGGAACGTTGACCTACACGACGACCTGGGCCTCGAATCTATACAGAAATACATGAAGTCAGCGTCGGAACGGTACTTCGATAAGGCTATGCGTCATGATAATCGCCTTATCGTAGCCGCCGCTGACTACTCCCCGAATCCTGATCATGCAGGAGCCAGTCACCGTCGACGCCCTAGACACGTCCTTACGGATCCATCAGATCCAATAACCTTTGCACTAGACGCCTTCAGCTCTAGGAGCAGGCTTAGGGACCTCGGTAACCGTACTCGTCGAACTCGACAAAGAGTTCGCCGTGCAACCTAACCCATGAATCAGCTCGCTGAGTTTCTCGCCGGATCTTCTCAGCGGGTCGCGATTCCGATTCGATAGTAGATTCATTCGCGAAGCAGCTCTTGAGTTGTTAGGTCTCCTTCGGAGGTGCTCGGGTAGCTGTTAGCAAATCCCACCCCTCCTGGCTGAGCCTTTGCTCGCCCACCTGTCCTGGTGAAACTGGAAAGGCCTCCGGGCCACCAGTAATCCTTCAATCATAAAAAAAAAAAAAAAAAACCATTGAACTTCTACATTGATAGCTAAATTAAGCTAATTGTAAGGATATGATGAAAGGGCGTGATTTTATCAAAAAAGTTCAATAAAACGTTTTCTTTTTTTAACTTATGCTCAAAAGCACACTTTATTTTCAGAATACCAAACTTAGGATATTTTCTTAGTCTCCGAATGGTTATCGTCGGTCATGATCATCGGCAATGTACAGCCAAAGATTTCTAAGATCAAGCACAGTCCTATTTTAAAAGGAACATGGCCCATAACACAGAGGATCTTAAATTGGGGCCCAATGAGCGTATGTGATTTGTTACCAGTTATTTATTATTATGATTAAACTAGCTGTACCCGTACGCTTCGCTGGGCATTTAAAATTAACATTATTATTTCTTACCCCCACAAAGATTCTCATCATTAACGCCCCCGAAACTGGTGTACTCGTAATAAATATTAGCCTATCCATTAGGTACATGTATTTTCTACATGGATACCAAGTTTCAAGTCAATCGGATGCACAGTTCGGTAGTTGTAACGGAACATCCGTAAGAACCACTGTAGATTTATATCATCATCATCATCATCATCATCATCAACAGCCCACAGTCGTCCACTGCTGGACATAGGCCTCTCCCAATCTACACCACTGATATATACTTAGTCAGGTCATAAATTCTGTCACATGTTTAATGTAAAATAATTGAAACAAGTTTATTCATTATGTGACCATTCATATACCAAAATGAACTTAACAAAACATAGATTCTTATGACGTTAAAGTTTATTCAAAATAACCTCCGTGATTTTGAATACAGGCCTTCAATCTGCGCGGCCAGTCGTCTATCGCAGCACGAACGAGGTCCATGTCAATATCGGCGGCTGCCTTAATCAAGGATGTCTTGAGTGACTCCAAATTGGGATGAGGCTTTGAGCACGCCTTTTCCTCCAAGTGTTGCCATATCTTGTAATCTAACGGATTCAAATCTGGACTGGAGGAGGGCCAGTCTTCGTGCCGGATGAAGTCGATTTCACGCGCCGCCAGCCAGTCTTGTGTGCTCTTCGCTCTATGAGCTGGCGCCGAATCTTGTTGGAATACCCAGTGCCTGTTATTGAACATGGTATGAGAAACAGGTTCCACAAGGTTCGTCAGGACTGTATTTTGATACACAACTGCATTCGTTTTTACACCTTTCTCACAAAAATGTACCTCTGTTAAGCCCCAATAAGAAACTCCCAACCATACCATGAGCGAGGATGGAAAATGACCTCGTTGGACACGCGGAATACGGTTGCTCGCTTCTTCACTACTGTGTGCGTACACCTTATCATTTTGTTTGTTGTAGCTCTCTTCTACGGTAAAAATTTTTTCATCCGAAAAAAGAATTTCCCGATATTTTTTTCCCGCGTACCGCTTCAACAAAGCGCGGCATCTCTTCAGTCTCAGGTCCATTAGACGAGCATTCAAACGATGTCCTGTTTTTCTTCGATATGCCCGAAGCCCTAAGTCTTCATTTAACACCCTTTTCACCGTGGTTCTGCTTAACCCCATCTGAAGGGCCAACAGTTTCTGCTTACGTTTGGGATTTCTTTGAATTCGCGCCTTCACAGCTTTTATCACTGCTGGAGTCCTAACAGACCGAGGGCGACCACTTCTTGACCTGTCGTCTACACTAGAGTCTTCATTGTATCGTTTGATGGTACGATAAACGAATCTTCTGGTTATATTCAAATTTTTCAGTATGTTAAAAATTTGAATTGGCGCGTAACCGCAACGATGCAACGCAATAACTGCAAACACGGTCTTCTTTAAGCGTCCACTCCATATTTAAAAATGAGTAAAAATTCTAAAAGTATACATTTTTATTTTCATGAACAATTCGAAATTCGAATTCAATAAACTTTTTTGTGGCCAGCATTCTAAAAGAAAAGTTTTTACTGTGTGACAATACTTATGACCTGACTAGTTATATTAGTATAGATAAGTAATGTTGCACTATAATTATGTGTGTGATCTAATTGTCTATTTGATCAGTCATTTTTCTATATTCCAGACCCAAGCTGCCTTAACAGCATGTAGAGGAATTTGATTACACACCTTCTTGCTGCGTCGTGAAATGAATGGGTTGCGTGTAAGAACTCAAATCTACTTGGTTTCCAGCTGCAACCCTCACCCGGTACTCCGTAAACGGTTGAAGTTCAGTAAGCTCCACAGTCTGACGAATGAGGCCATCTTCTCTGTAAATTATATGTGTTTCCATGAGTACATGACACAATAGCTTTATCACCTTCCGTTAATTGAACATCAAAAGGCCAGAGTACCAAGGGCAACTCAGAGACTTTATGTTGAAGACACAGCTAGTTCTCAAATCTGGAACTTTTTAAAAGCGATATAGTCATCACAACTTCAATATCGGTGCCAATTTGAGACAAATCTTAGAATTATCCTTTGCATATACAACAAACTTTTTGAGCTGGAATAAATTATTAAATTATTGGGACAGACGTTGTACTGTTAAAATCAATACCTTAGAAATCTTGTCTCAAAGTGGATGGTGGCTTTTACGTTGCAGATGTCTATGGGCTCCAGTAAATTGCTGAAAATTAATTTTGGGTAATCAATTTCGGAGCCAGTACCCAGCTTTAGCTGATTGAATAATTCAAAACTGAACAACGAATACCTGGTAACATTAACGGTCTTAGCTGAATCCCACATCATGAAGTCGTTGTTAGTAAACTGGATAGTGTAGTACTCCACGTGCGCAATGATCGTGTCCCTCCAAGACAATTTGGCTGTGCTACCAGACACGTGATCTAATTGCAATTCCACCGGAGACGATGGTGGCTCTGAAAAATATCACAGGTATCAAACTCTTGAGTGAGTCAAAGCTCTCACGATCGATCATCCAGAAGGTGGACAGACTTGATTAAGCCATCTACTAAGTATTCCCTTACTGAGTATACACATCAACATCATCATCATCAACAGCCCACAGTCATCCACTGCTGGACATAGGCCTCTCCCAATCCACACCACTGAGTATACACATAACGCCACAAATAGAGAGAAATATAGAAGCCTCGCAAAAGCCGCAACCAAGCAATAAGACATAAATAACCACGACCACTCCGCCAGGTTTGTACGACTGAGAAGAAGAATCGAACTCTTGACTCAAAGTTTTCAAGGTCGTTGTCATTGAGGTCCTGAGGCTGCTTAAAACAAGATCGACCACGGGGTCCTCACCTGTCTCTAAAACACCATTAAAATCTAGCTGACCACTACCTGAATTCTTTCTTGATAATTTCGTTTTGTGATCATCGAATAATTTATAGGAAGTGGTTAATAGTTGATAACTGATTTGCGCAAATTACGAGAGAACTGAGTTCAGCAATGGACAAGTGTGGATGACGATGATGATGATGATGACGATGATGATGAGAAATAATTTACAGCAAATCCCAACCCTCCTGGCTGAGCCTTTGCTCGCCCACCTGTCTTGATGAAACTGGAAAGACTTTCAGGCCACCGATAATCTTTCTTTCATAAAAAAAACTTAGCAGCTGATACTGACAAACTATTCGTATATTTAACGAGTTGTAGACTAAAGAAGCGGTAATAAGAAAGTTTTGTGTGTATTGCTGTTGGTGTGTGTATAAATAAATAAATAAATAAGGGGTTCGATGTTTTTAATTGAGCTTCAACTAAGTTTACTCCATTGAAATGGCTCAAGAAGCTTTTTTCGTTATAATATTATTTTCAATTTTCCAATCTTCAAATGGCTCTCTAGTAAGGTTGCAAAATTGTCACTTAAACCAAATAACTTTTTTTACCTCTCGGTATTGTTCAGGCGCCTGAATATAGTCTGTGGTTTTTTTTGTTACCACAAAATCTCAGCACTGCGTGACACATTAAATAAACCTAGAGGTCCCGCAGTAGTCGAAATTCGACTATAATTAATTGTAAGTTTGTACACTGTTATGATTGTATTTTCAACGCCAAGACTATACTGTAGAAAAATATTAATAAAGACAAACAATAATTAATCTATACTCAATTTGACCACAGACGTCAAGAACAAAAGTTTGACAATAAATAGTATGCATGCGTGTGTGCGTCAAATACATGGTATGTAGTGTGTGTAATATTTTTATTGATTTAATGTATCTTTTATGCATTATTTTAAAAAAATATTAGCATTGTGCACTTCTTCTTTATATTCTCTATAAGTGTGGAAAATTTCACACTCCTCCATCCGTGCAATTTTCGTAAAAAGGGATACAAAGTTTTTGCTTCACGTATTAATATATAGATGTACGCTTTGAATTTTTATCCCAATTTATAAGTATTATTTTAATTCTGTAATTCCCGAATAGGTATGTAAGTAGTAATAAATAAAAGCTCACCTAGAATATTAAGCCTCACATTATAAGCAGCGACGCCGTAAGGATTACTAGCTCGGCATTCGTAGTAGCCCCGATCACGACTCTCCACGTAGTTAATATTTAGGACACTGCTCAGCCCATTATGCGTATTCGTCTCGGAGATTGTTATTCTGAAAAAATAAACGCATTTCGAAAAATTTCCACAAATGTCACCTTAGACAAAATTTAATTTAGCGCCATCTGTTGGCGTTTTCATGGACTATTTCGATGTTCATATTCCAGTTGGTTCCGTATTGAATAAAGGTACGAAATTTTGATAAAAGATTACGTTTTTATAAACTTACTAGCCGTACTCGCCCGCTTCGCTAGGCATTTAAAATTAACATTATTATTTATTGTCATTATTATTAGGGAGTCCAACACTCATATAAATTAGCCTATCCATTAAGTACAAGTATTTTCTACATGGATACCAAGTTTCAAGTCAATCGGATGCATCGTTCAGTAGTTATAACGGAATATCCGTAAAAACCACTGTGGATTTATATATTAGTATAGATATAGCGTCACCAAAAGATATGGTGTCTTGTAAGCCTGCACGTGTACCACCGCCCTGCCTATTTTTGCCGCGAAACAGTAATGCGTTAGGGTTCGAACAGCCATTCCACTATACAATTGAGAGACTCAAACCTCATGTCTCAAGGAAGGCCTCGGCATTCATATTTCTCTTCTCCATCGTTCCCTCACTGCTGAAGATCGCGACCACACGTGAGCTTCCTCCATAGCGTTCGGTCATGGCATTCACGTAGTAACATCTAAAATATCTACAGAAAAAACAACAACGAATACCTTGACGATGGAAAATCCAAAGGTTTGCCGTCCAAACTCCATTTGACTCTAATAGGACTGTCTCCGAGTGGACGACAAGAAATGGTCACCGGAAGCCCTGCCTTTGTCGTCAAATTAGCTCCTAAAGATTCAAAGTGGACTGGTTCTGAAAAAAAAAACGGTGGTCATTATAGTTGACACTTTTGTAGGGTTTGATTCGACTTACAGTAATCTTAATATTATTTATAGCGTGATCCAATAGGGTTTTAGATTTAACTAGTGGCCCAGCAGTAGTCGAGATTCGACTATAATTAATTGAAATTATAAGTTTAAACATTATTATGGTTCTATTGTCAAACACTGTTATATTTCGATAATATAATCACAGTATTCGCCAAAACTGCACTATAGATCAATAATATTAAAGACAAACAATATTAATCTATTTTCAAATCGATCACAGACTTTAACCAATAACAAAAGTTTCCCAATGGACAGTAAACAAAGAGTATATTTTATGTATGTGTTGTGTCAAATACATGATAGTGTGTGTCATGTTTTCTTTATTGATTTAAAGTATCTTTTATCGGCCGTCTGGTGTAGTGGTAAGTGACATGGTCACTACACAAGGGGGTCGCGGGTTCGAATCCCGCCAAGGGAAGGTATTTGTATGATAAATATAAATGTCTTTTCCAGGGTTATGGATGTATATTAAATATGTGTATGTATGTGTATAATAATCTTATATTTATTTCCGTTATCTGGTACCTGTAACACAAGTTCTTTACAAACTTATAACGGGACCAGTTAACGTGGCGTGATTGTTAGTAAATATTTATTATTGATTTATTTATTTATTATTTATTTATGCATTATTTAAAAAAAAAAATTGCATTGTGCACTCCTTCTCTATATTCTCTATAAGTGTGGGAAATTTCATACTCCTCCGTCCGCGCAATTTTCGTAAAAAGGGATACAAAGTTTTTGCTTCACGTATTAATATATAGATAGAGGAAATCACAGAGAGTGTTTCAGAGAATAAGTTGAAAGTACTAATGAAGTGTATTGAAGAATTAATATTAGTTCCGCGTCATTATGATTAAGCATTTTCATGAATGAATCGTTAAGTTAATAATACTGTTAGTCGAATCAAAGCCTAATAAAATCGGAAAAATGTAACCAGTACTCTACTTTTTTTTATTTATTGCTTAGATGGATGGATGAGCTCACAGCCCACCTGGTGTTAAGTGGTTACTTGAGCCCATAGACATCTGCAACGTAAATGCGCCACCCATCTTGAGATATAAGTTCCAAGGTCTCAGTATACTTACAGTTATAGCGGCTGCCCTACCCTTCAAGCCGAAACGCATTACTGCTTCACGGCAGAAATAGGCAGGGCGGTGGTACCTACCCGTGCGGACAAGAGGCTCACAAGAGGTCCTACCACTAGTAATTACGCAAATTATAATTTTGCGGGTTTGATTTTTATTAAACGATGTTATTTCTTCACCGTGGAAGTCAATCTTGAACATTTGTTAAGTACGTATTTCATTAGAAAAATTGGTACCCGCCTGCGGGATTCGAACACCGTTGCATCGCTACATACTAATGCACCGGACGCCTTATCCTTTAGGCCACGACGACTTCAAAACTTTACTCAACTATAGACTTACTGTTAACGCTAATCCACAATTTCTTGTTCAATGCTTCTCCCACACCGTTCTCCACATTACAAGCGTACAGGCCTTCATCTGACAGAGAGACAACCTCAATGATAAGAGTACCGTTGGGATAGCTGATCACTCCACCACCAGCTAAATCTAAAACTGGCCTCCAAATACCAAGGGTCGCTGAAAGATTACATAAAACACGACCAAAATTAGATGAAAATGATTCAAAAGTTTTGTTTAATATCGGGGGTTTCGAATAACCAGATAAGAACTAAAAATTGATAAGTCATATGAAAAAACTCTAAAAGTACTTTTTTAGTGTAATCTTACAGTTTTACTGTCATTAAATTGTAGTCTAAGATCCGACTGCGGGATTAGTGCGCTCATCGGTTATTTGCTAAAAACCAAATTTTTATGTATATTTATAATTAGGAGAATATATATCTACCAAGTTGCCTATCAAAATCTGGCCGCTAGTATTTTTAATTAAATTATTGTTAATTGCTTTCTGGGAAAAAATTTCGTTCACTTGTTTTTTAAATAAAATATCGTCTACATCACGGCAATTTACATAATGATTTAAAAAGATCACGGTTGCCATTGCGCACCTGGCCGCACCTCTTCGCAGCCAGGTGTAAACAGGTATGATTTCGATACTTTTTTACGTTCATAACGTATATTTATTAATTATATATCAAATTGAAGCTAATTTTTAAAAAACAAGTGAACGAAATTTTTTCCCAAAAAGCAATTGACAATAATTTAATTAAAAATACTAGCGGCCAAATTTTGATAGGCAACTTGGTAGATATATATTCTCCTAATTATAAATATACATAAAAATTTTGTTTTTAGCAAATAACCGATGAGCGCACTAATCCTGCAGTCGGATCTCGTACTATTATGATTATGTACCCTCCGCTGTTGGAGTCGCTCTTAAGTCATCTGTGGTCAAGAAAACTGTAAAACTAGATTTTTTATTGGTTAGATGAGTGGAGAGCTCACAGCCCACCCGGTGTTAAGAATTTACTGGAGCCCATAAACATTTACAACGTAAATGTGCCACCCACCTTGAGATGTGAGTTCTAAGGTCTCAAGTATAGTTACAACGGCTGCCCTACCCTTCAAAGCGAAACGCATTACTGCTTCACGGCAGAAATAGGCAGAGTGGTGGTATCTACCCGCGCGGACTCACAAGAGGTCCTACCACCAGTAATGATATAACGACAAAAATATGCGAGATTAAACCGCTTATTTACCGTTCGCGAGTCGAGCTAAAGATAGCTTTAATTATGTCTACATATCTGTTATTATCTTTAGATAACTTTAATCTATCTTTAGATAGCTCTTAAATTCTACAAAAACTACTGCCCGTCTTCGTTTTCGAGAATTTACAAATGAAAATCTTTTAAGTCAAAGTCAAGTGGAGAAAGAGAACAGTTCTAAAACAATTCATACCGTCTCTTTTCATCCAATGTATTTGCGGGGTTGGATATCCATTCGCATTGCAATAGACCATGCCTCTTTGGCCTAATAGCAAGGATGTATTCGTTGGCTCGTCCACCCACTTTGGCGCCACTGAAATAATAAAAGAAAACTAAATGAGCACGATTTGTGAATACTCTTGATATCGATGCTGCAAAATGATTATGTAATGTTCCATAACCAACGAACTCAAGGAAATACTTTCTTCAATGTTGGACCATGTAGACCCAAAACGTTAAAATGTTGTGTTAGACCGAGTCCCGAAACCAGGTAACGTGTTTTACTATAACGGTACTGCAAGCCATTCAAACATATTATTTCCAGAGATACTAATTGTTGGGAATCCAATCGAAATCCTATCCTATTTATGCACTGCTAGAGCTCATGTTTGACTAGACCTAAGGTACAATTGAACGGTATTGTTAGTAGTTTTTAAAACATCAAGTCAACGTCTCTATATACGCTGTATATTAAGAAATATTCTATGGAACACACGATTTATCCACTATAAATAATATGGTACGATATCCAAAATCTGGAGGTACACAAGATAGAAGTTTAAAAGAAATTTGTGCTTTCAATACAGGCGATTGATAGGAACCATCATTGGCTTAAAGAAGTGAGACACTCATAACTGCATATACTAAATATTGAATAGCCAGACTCTTAAAACTGCAAATCAAACTAGTGAAAGAGCTTCAGCATTGGACATGAAACACTGCTATTATGAGTACACTAGACGATGACCGAGCTTTTTTTTTTTGATAACGCCATCTTGTTGTGTCTTTAAAGCGGTTAGTTGCCCTCAATTAAGAAAAATAGTATTATTATTTGCCAATAGATGTCGGGAAGAGTTGATTATTGAAAACACGAATAAAACAACATTTTCTGAAAATAAATCGTAGGTAGATCGATTTATCGCCCCCGAAATCCCCTGTATACTAAATTTTATGAAAATTGTTGGAGCCGTTTCCGAGATTCAGATTATATATAATTATATGTACAAGAATTGCTCGTTTAAAGGTATAAGATAGACAGTTTAGTATATTTCCATAACAGAATCGTAAGGATATAATCATTTGCTCACCACTGATGTACAGGTCCGTGGTTTGGTTCACCTTCCCCACGTGATTGGTGGCGATGCACGTATACTTTCCACAGTGTTCCAAAGCTACCCGTTTTATAATAAGCACGCTGAATAGCTCAGAACTCCTTTCTGTGATCTACGGGAGATTAAAACTATTTGATCTTGTGGGTTATTTTAATATTGAACATGTTAATACCCAGTGCTGGATTTACACTAGGGGCAGTCGGGGCAAGTGCCCAAGGCCGCAAATGTTTTTAGGGCGGCAAAATTTTAAAAGAATTTTTTTTTTGATCTTATCAAGATTACTGTATATAATTCAGTAATTCTATTAATTAATAATTTTCTGTTTGATTGACAATTCACCAAATTCAGTTTCATTCATCCCTTATTTGTGAATTATAAATTTGGCACTATTGGTAAAAATTATTAATAATCAAAATGGTTTAGTCAATAATACTTGGACATTTAAAATAATAATTGATTTTTCCATTTTCTGAAATTAAAGAATTGAATTAATTTTTTTTTATGTAAAATAATTACGATTCCCCTTAGTGCAAAATTTATATTTATGTTAGAAAAAAAAAATATGTTTTTGGAATATTTAACATACGATAAAGCTTCTGCAATAAATTAGTTATTTTAATTTTGAAAAATAAAATATTATAAAACTATATATATAAACTATAAGCTTAGATAAAATTTCAGTATTGGGGCAGATTTTTTTCCGGTGCCCAGGAGCGGTATTACGTATAAATCCGGCCCTGCTAATACCGATGCCTTTTGTAGTAAAAACAGTGCACATTTAGATCGATTTTTGGATATTATATGAATAGCACAAAGCTCTTAATTATCAAAATAGCATAAGACGTTAAGAATGCAATTTTACTTTCAAACTAGGAGGTATCTTCTTCCCATCCTTCAGCCAGGAGAAGTAGATCGGCGGATCTCCACTGACGATGTTGCACGTTATCTGTACTATTTGACCTTCTTTCAGTCCAGATCCGACCCTTAGTTCGTCCAATTCCGGTGCTTCTACAACTTGAATCTCGAAAGATCTGTAAATATAGGGTGAATTTGAAATTAAAGCGTCCTTATCAAGTGTATAGCCAAAAAAAAAACAATGAAAATTTTTAATGCATTTAAAGATTATTTTCCTTTATTCTTGTAACCTCGAGTGGTAATACTAGATTCATCAAGCGAGTAAGTAAGCTCACGGGGCTCTAACCTGACGACTTTGCTAAGAAAAGTAAAGTCACATGTGGTCGCGATCCTCAACAGTGAGAGAACGATGAAGAAGAAGAAGGTATAGCAAGACAGAGCAGTGATTCAAAGAATCTACCACCGGATCTGAAATGCGAAACGCTGAGAAGATCCGGCGAAAATCTCAGTGGGCTGTGTCTGTGGGCTGATTTGCTCGACGAGCCCGGTAAGCGGTGCTTGTGGTGCTTAAAAGCACCGGTGCATCGGGAGGATTCGAAGCATAATAATATAATGCCCGGCGCATTAAATTATTATGTAACCATATGTTATCACTACATAGTATAAAACAATGTCGCTTTCTCTGTCCCTATATCTGTCCCTATGTATGCTTAAATCTTTAAAACTACGCAACGGGTTTTGATGCGGTTTTTTTCAATAGATAGAGTGATTGAAGAGGAACGTTTATAAGTATCATTTCATATCATTTTCACTGGTGGTAGGACCTCTTGTGAGTCCGCACGGGTAGGTACCACCACCCCGCCTATTTCCGCCGTGAAGCAGTAATGCGTTTCCGTTCGAAGGGTGGGGTAGCCGTTGTAACTATACTGAGACCTTAGAACTTATATCTCAAGGTGGGTGGCGCATTTACGTTGTAGATGTCTATGGGCTCCAGTAACCACTTAACACCAGGTAGGCTGTGAGCTCGTCCACCCATCTAAGCAATAAAAAAAAAATAAAAAGTATAATTACATCAATTAAATAGTGGAAAAATCAATAATAAATTACAGTTTCCGAAGCGAAGCGACGGCGGGTCGCTAGTTATGATATAAATTTTCTTTATAAGATTAATTAGTGTCGCTTTTGACTAAATATTATTAATATTCCATATCTACTTTCGAACTCTAACTAGGATATATAAATTATATGAAATTAGTGTCATTATTAATACAACGGTCAAACAATATATTAATTAAACCACTATATTAATTAACTTTTTACGACAAATGTCCAAACAGATATAAAAGTATTCTGCAAAATGTATTGGTATCTATTTACAAGGGCAAGCCATCATACTTTATCAGTAAAAATAATTCGAAAGCAGACTGAACTGGTGGTAGGACTTCTTGTGAGTCCGCGCGGGTAAGTACCACCACCCTGCCTATTTCTGCCGTGAAGCAGTAATGCGTTTCGGTCCGAAGGGTAGGGCAGCCGTTGTAACTATACCGAGATCTTAGAACTTATATCTAAAGGTGGGTGGCGCATTTACGTGGTAGATGTCTATGGGCTCCAGTAACCACTTAATATCAGGTGGACTGTGAGCTCGTCCAACCATCTAAGCAATAAAAAAAGACAGTATTGTCACAGTAGCCAGTTTTAATCTCACCTTCTAGCCATTTCTCCCGAAGGACTATACACGACGCAAGTGTATGTATCCCCGTTCTCCTCCTTGACGACTTTAGGTAAATTCAGTACTCCGTTTTCATCTCTTTCGAATAGCTGTCGTTTTCTTCTTCTTCTCTTGCCGGTGGTAAAGGTACGTTTGTAACGAACGTGCTGTGGTAAAGCAGTCGAACTCAGTTTCACGCCTTTATGCTCCCATTCAAGTTTGCTGGAATTTTTATACGCGTACGATGAAATAACAATAATAATTTCCACTAAATTACATTGATTTTTACTGGTGGTGGGACCTCTTGTGAGTCCGCGCGGGTAGGTACCACCACCCTTGCTATTTCTGCCGTGAAGCAGTAATGCGTTTCGGTTTGAAGGGTGGGGCAGCCGTTGTAACTATACTGAGATCTTAGAACTTATATCTCAAGGTGGGTGGCGCATTTACGTCGTAGATGTCTATGGGCTCCAGTAACCATTTAACACCAGGTGGGCTGTGAGCTCGTCCATTCCTCTAAGCAATAAAAAAAATAGTTAAATTCTGCTTATTCATATTAGTGTTAAAGTTAATCCAATACTTATATACATATTAATTATCTAGTTTTTGGAACAAAGTTCCTTATGGAACGATGCGGAGGGGTACCCTAACCGGGAAAAAACGTCCGTAGCATAAGATTTTTATTATTTATGTATAGTCCTAGTATGATGGCTATACAGTGTCTAATGTCTACGTGATGACACTTATTATTCATATAAATAGCTGTTTTTTGTATATCATTCTTATAATTTTTTTATAAATCATTGTGAATAAAATAAAGTTGATAGCTTTGTAAAGTAGTTACTTTTTTATCAACAAAAAAATCATAATAAAAAAAGTATACCCCGAATAATTATTTTCTTTATACCTCGAATAGAACTTAAAATTAATATTTTTATAATAAGGAACTTCTAAGGAACTAAGGAAGTAAATTGAGAATTTTAAAGTGTTCATTGAGTGTTTTAAGTGTTCTAAACGTTAATACAGTTGCAATCTGTACTTCGGTAGAATTTTTATTTATCCCGAACCCCAGCGCGTAATAACATTTAACATATTGTCCATTTGAATCTATTTTATGTTGCGCGTCTATATTTCCGATACGCATAACACATAGGAAAATTCTAACCTGTAAAGTACAATAATAATTATTAAAATGTATTATTTTATTAACTTAGTTAGTTAGTTTTAGTTAGATTAATTTATTTTAGTTTTAAACATTGTGTAGGCTATCATTCAAATGATAGAATATTTCGAAACTTTTACTGGTAGTAAGACGTCTTGTGAGTACGCACGAGTAGGTACCACCATCCTGCCAATTTCTGCCATGAAGCAGTGAATGGGTTTCGGTTTGAAGGGTGGGACATTCGTTGTACTCTAAAACTGTGATCTTAGAACTGATGTCTCAAGGTAGGTGGCGGCATTTACGTTCTTGTGGTCCATGGACTCCGGTAGCTCCAGTGATACCAGGTGAGCTCGATCACCCATTTAAGAAAATAAGAAAAATAGAAATGGTGAAACCTGATAGGGTATCCATAGTAGGGACATCTTAACTTCAAAGATTCTCCGCTCTGTACTTTTATCGGTGGTAGAGACCGAATATACGGCGGTCCTGAAAGAAAGAGTTTTGGTTAAATTAAACAATTCCATAATATATAACGTTCCACTACTGCTCGGACGTTAGACCTTAAGCGATTGACGCCGCCATTCGCCTTGAAACCTAAAGTAGAAGTTACAATTATTATTGGCGGTAGGACCTCTTGTGAGTCCGCACGGGTAGGTACTACCACCTATGTCTGCCGTGAAGCAGCAACGCGTTTCGGTTTGAAGGGTGGGCAGCCGTTTTAACTATACTGAGACCTTAGAACTCATATACCAAGGTGGGTAGTGGCATTTACGTTGTAGGTGTCTATGGCATCCAGTAACCACTTAACACCAGGTAGACCGTGAACTCGTCCACCCATATAAGCAATAAAAAATAAATAAAAATTATCATGATAATATTTATCTAATCCATCAAACCGGATACATGCCCTTTTAAAGAAATAAGCAGACTGGTCGTACCAAACAGCACAGGCCAGAACACTTATCCGCTTCTTCCAATGATTTGTCTTGGATTCGCCGTACAATACTCCAAGATCAAGCCGCTATGGCGCTGACGCTGACGCTCACGAGATTCGTGATTGCTGACCATAATCGGTAGCTCGTTCGTCTGCTTTAAAAACTTACCGTAGACATCAATACGAGCTGAATGCGTTATCTTCGTGTCTCCTTCTAAAGCAGTGCAAGAGTAGACCCCGCCGTCTTCGACTCTTGAGCGCGTGATGTTCACTTGTGACACCACTCCAACTCCAGACATCATTTGACCAAGAGTGTACCTTAATGGCAATGAGAAAGAAGAATTACATTTTTATTGGATTGTATAGATCAACGAACTCTTGGCGGACTGGATATTAAACTACCACCAAACATATCACAAATGAAACGCCAATTCTTTTGCTGACTGCAGGTTGAGTATACAAGTGTATCAAGATACCATTCTTGAGAAGGTAGTGAAGCCCCTTAACAACACCATGTTCAATAATCAAGAATGGTCCTTCCAGCAACTCGTCGCCAGGGCATAAAGCTCGGTCTACGCAGTCTTGGTTGGAAACGAACGTTTCGGACTTCATCAGGGCTGAAGACTGGCCGTCGTCTAGTCCCGATCTTAATACGCTGGATTATGATTTATGGTCAGTTTTAGAGAGTACGGCTTGCTCTAAACGCCGCGGCTGATAATTTGGAGTCCCTATAACAATCCATACGATTGGCAGTGAAAAATTTTCCCATGGAAAGAGTGTGTGCTTCTATTGATAACTGGCCTCAACGTTTAAAGGACTGTATTGCAGCCAATGGAGACCACTTCGAATAAGTTTTTTATACTTTAAATTGTTTTATATTTATGTATTAAACTAGCATCTGTAAAAGTAATAAATGTTATTTGCCATAGGATTTTTTTTGTTTTCTTTGTAACAGTATTTATGGCCAGACTAAGTATAAATAACATTTTGTGCGCAGGATCCCATGGTCAATTATAAAATAATATTTATGCCAATGTCCGGTGAGCCGGTTTTCAAAATTCTTAATAGGCATTGATATAAGAAGAAAGGGACTCATTGGAGCGTCCTTAATTAAATGCAAAAGTTTTAAAACGATGCATCCGTTGCAGATAGCGTAAACGTATTGGTGTCGTCGTGGCCTAACGGATAAGACGTCCGGTGCATTCGTGTGTAGCGATGCACCAGTGTTCGAATCCCGCAGGCGTGTACCAATTTTTGTAATAAAATACGTACTTAACAAATGTTCACGATTGACCTCCACGATGAAGGATTAACATCATGTAATAAAAATCAAACCCGCAAAATTATAATTTGCGTAATTACTGGTGGCAGGACGGGTAGGTACCACCACCCTGGCTATTTCTGCAGTAATGCGTTTCGGTTTGAAGGGTGGGGCAGCCGTTGTAACTGTTCTAAGAGCTTAGAACTTATATCTCAAGGTGAGTGGCGCATTTAGTTGTAGATGTCTATGGGCTCCAGTAACCACTTAACACCAGATAGGCTGTGAGCTCGTCCACCTATCTAAGCGATTAAAAAAAAAGCAATACCTTTGATCAGTATTTGATGTGATCGTCACACCGTCCCTTTCCCAAATGAATCTAGGTGGTCTTTCTGCTGTAGCTGTACATTGAAGGCTTACCTGAAAAATGGTGACATTAAACAACCTCAACATTATTGTATGAAGAACAGGTTTATTTGCTTCTTGTCTATTATCATTTAATATTACTTTTCAAACGAGGCTTGTGGAGAGTACTTAACGACAGGCAGCGGCTTGACTCTGCCCCTGGTATTGCTGACGTCCATGGGCGACGGTAACCACTCACCGTCAGGTTGGCCGTACGCTTGTCTGCCTACAAGGGCAATAAAAAAACCCATATATGTCTATATTAAAACGTATATAAATGTATATGTATCTGTTACCCATAGTACAGGAAATCTTAGGTGACCTCATGTGAATTATCACCGGTTTAAAAGAAAGACTAAATCCAATAAATACTGCTCTCCACCAGATCAGAATTTACCTCAAAATCGTGGAATCAATGCGCTCACCCACAGTGTATTTTCTAGAGACCGTTTGTGTCCGGTACCATTCGGCTCTAGAACAATCCACGGTATTTTCCGAAAGCTATCCTATTTACTTCAGCAAATGAGACTTAGACCACTTAGTTGTGCTAACCATCTGGTCGACCCAATTGTCATTTACCTTCAGGAGTAATATCCAATATTTAGACCATAACGCTTCGTCAATGATTCCCCAATGCTAGGGCATAAGTATCTTGAAATCTCATTTACAATGCGCCTTTGGCATACAGTGAATATCCTAGCAATCTGATCTTTGATTATAATAAACTCATATACCAATGTTTTAGTGACACAATTCTCGACTGCTTTTGAAGCTAACAACTTTGGCGTTAATTAAATGATACTTTGAAAGTAAACTTACGTCATCACCGGGCGTAACGATCTGTCCACTGAAATGTTGGGTCATCAAAATGTTCGAAGGAATATCCCTTTTATTTCGTACGCGTAGAACATCTGCAACTGAATTATGTTGTGAAAATTCTACGGAAATTTCATGATCACGTAGGAGCTCGTGTGCATAAGCACACAAAATTATCTCCATCTCAATCAAACCTTGATAAACAAGTATGGATTGCGTAACATATATCAACTCATATAGGTAGCATCACCACCGGTATCTTACTCATTTCTGTAGTAAAAAAAACGATGCAGTTTGGTATGATGTTCATTGAACCTTAACTTAGTCGTACTTGAAACTTTGATATTACACCGCACCTTAAGGATTGAAGTAGCTAACTAAAAAATTTAAGAAAAAGGGTTTTATACTTTGAACGACTTATAAACATGTTTTCTATCTATACTAATATATAAATCTACAGCGGTTTTTACGGATGTTCCGTTATAACTACTGAATCATGCATCCGATTGACTTGAAACTTGGTATCCATGTAGAAAAAGCTGTACTTAATGGATAGGCTAATATTTATATGAGCGTTGGACTCCCTACACCAGTTGCGGTAGCGTTTATGATGAGAATCTTTGTGGGGTCAGAAATAATAATGTTAATTTTAAATGCCCAGCGAAACGGACGGGTACAGCTAGTCAATTTATAAAAGAACAAGGCACACTTTCCGTCTCTTTTAAATCAAGCGCATACCATAAGTTTTAAGGTATGTGTTTTAAGGCTTAAAGTATTAAAATCAAAACTGAAAAATTACAATTCTTCAATTACATTTTTGGCGTTTACCAAAAAACGTGAATTTTGGATTAAGCCATTGCAATTCTAAAGATGGGATATGTCAATTTAGGTTATAGTCAAACAGCGTTATCTGCATAGTAGGTTTCATACTTCAGTGGTTATCTTTCTATCAAATCATCAACAGAGTGAAGATTCAGTCTCCCTATTTACGTTGAAAAAGGCTAACCTCACGTAATGCAAAGGTTGAAAAGATTACTATTCCTGTCAGATTTTCCTGTCGCTAACAATCAACTATCCTACGCAGCTTAAAAGACGATTTACCTTCTCCCGACAATCTTCGCGTCTAATCAATCATGAATTTCTTTAATAAAATTATTTCCTTTTCACTACCATTAAACATATTTTTATTTGGTGTTCTAGATGTGTAAAGACTTCTTTTGATATTACGTAATTTCATAACGGTAGACATCATAGTGGTGGGTACCTTGAATTTCCCCCACATCTTCAAACTATGATACCAATCACTATTACCTACTGTCCAATTGCCAATAGAATGCAATCACAGCAAATTTAGCGCAAAACCACAACATTTCCACCGAATCGACGCAATTATTTCTTTAACAATGAAAATTCACCAACTTATCAAGTCATTTCATAATCCCTATTAATATATTATGTTATGCAATCTGAGTGATTTCACCTCGTGGATAACGTCATATGGATTTAAACTATAAGTCAATTTAAATAGTGACATGGATACACAATATACCTTTATCATTCAAACTTCTTCCTTATCTTTCTTCTGTATTATTAAGAACAAGAAGATGTTAACATCGACATAAATTTTCCTACACCCTAATTAGTAAATTACTAATCGTGGTCGGGTAGGTTATAGTATATGCTACCACGGGTTCCTTGCTGGCTATTTCGGGCATGCATATTTCTGCGTTCTATTCAGAAGGGTTTTATAAGTGTTGTATCAATGCAATTGAAAATTCGTTGTTAAGGTGTTCACGTTACTGTATTAATTGGCTAAATCAGATAAACAGTGCCTCTAATGAGTATATCGGCTAATAAATAAATAATACACACCTCCATGGAACACCGTTGATGAGTTGGAAGCCATTGACCTGAAATGCAAAAAATACGTTCACGGCTCAAAACTACCAGAGTTTTAATTTCCAAGGATTAATATTGATGGTTTTTTTTTTACAAACGTGTATTTTATTGAAAACTAGCTGACCTGGCAGACTTCGTAGTGCCTCAATTGATAAATAAAAGACACATCAAGGGGACACATCAAAGGAAAAACAAAATTGTTTGTTTTTATATAATTCCGAGATTTTTTATATTTTCTCACATTTTAAACCTTCCCTGGACTTCCACGAATAATTCAAGACCAAAATTAGCCAAATCGGTCCAGCCGTTCTCGAATTTTAGCGAGACTAACGAACAGCAATTCATTTTTATTTATAGAGATTAGTTGACATTGGAACGCTTTTCATAAGCCACCCCCGTTTTGGAAGCTGATTAGTACGAACTTCAAGAAAGTGTATATCATAAGTTCGCTTACCGATTACTCCGTTACTTGTTTTGAGATGATATTGAAATTTATTTTTTTGTCCGAAAACGTTAGTCTCTCTAGGTAATATTCATTTTTAAGCTTATTTCATGAATTTTATTGTTCGATTCAGTTTTAATTTTTTTATAACCATACCTATCTCATGGTTTGTTACTTTTTTTTTATTACATCATTCCAATCAATATTTCAAAAAGTGTAAGGTTATTCACATTTTATACGTAAGCACTTTAATGTGTCCTCATAATCTATATTAATATATAAATCTACAGTGGTTTCTACGGATGTTCCGTTATAACTACTGAACCGTGCATCCGATTGACTTGAAACTTGGTATCCGTGTAGAAAATACATCTACTTTATGGATAGGCTAATATTAACATGAGCGTTGGACTCCCTAATATTAATAATGACAATAAATAATACTGTTAATTTTAAATGCCCAGCGAAGCGGGCGAGTACGGCTAGTACTAGGTATGTGTAGAAAGTAGTATACACTAAGACAGCTCGCGAGTAATTGAAAAACTTCTTTGAAATAACAGTTTTATTGTTGCGTTAAGCAAGTTTCGTGCGAATAGTCTGGTCTATCTTTTCAACACGTATCGGACTCTAGTTGAGATTTATTCAAGAACTATTGACGTGATAAGCATATAACAGACCTGGGTTCCGTATTAATAACTCTGTATATAACAAGGAGATGATATTAACGCTGCCATATTTATGGAGCCCCGGCAAATAAAATTACAGACAAACTGTACAAAAAATATTTTTAAAATTAATTTGTTTGTGTAATATTTTATTATACATAAAATACATAAATAATAAAATAGAAATCATAGAACCAAAAACGGATGAAGTAAAGTATAGGTATAACAAAAGAAGAAAAGTCCATCCCTGTGAGCACATACTGCGCCGGCCATACGTGATAATCTAGAAGGGCGAGAAGGGGTCCATGGACCTCAATATATATATTTTTTTATTGCTTTGATGAGTGGATGAGCTCACAGCCCACCTGGTGTTAAGTAGTTACTGGAGCCCATAGACATCTACCACGTAAATGCGCCACCCACATTGACGTATAAGTTCTAAGGTCTCAGTATAGTTACAACGGCTGCTCTGCCCTTCAAACCGTAACGCATTACTGCTTCACGGCAGAAATAGGCAGGGTGGCGGTACCTACCCGTGCGGAGTCATAAGAGGTCCTACCACTAGTAAAAAATCCATTGAACATTAGGAGATCGTGGGATTGTTGACGGAACTAAAAATAATAATATACGAATCAACAATTGGACTCTGGTGTGTATAGCGAAGTGTCAGAAGCAATGCGCGACGACGACCCGCAGTAAACATGCACGCGTCAAGTCGTAAATTCAATTTGAGGGTATTATGCGCAGACACGATTCGCAGCGACGCGGTAATTCCATTAATCATTTACAATTTATGTATCGCTACTGTTGCTTAGTTCGGTGTGGAACGCATCGCAATTGTGTGAATTACGTTTTTAGTTATTACATATTTACTGGTGGTAGGACGTCTTGTGAGTCCGCGCGGGTAGGTCACCACCGCCCCGCCTATTTCTGCCGTGAAGCAGTAATGCGTTTCGGTTTGAAGGGTGGAGCAGCCGTTGTAACTATACTGAGATCTTAGGACTTATATCTCAAGGTGGGTGGCGCATTTACGTTGTAGATGTCCATGGGCTCCAGTAACCACTTAATACCAGGTGGGCTGTGAGCTCGTCCACTCATCAAGCAGTCGTAGTCATGTGGAATTGCACCTATCTTGACCTATCTAAGCAATAAAAAAAAACTTTGTAAAGGATATCTGATCTTCAGTAGTTTAACATACTTGTCAATGTATTTTATTTGATTCAAGTACTCGTGAGAAAATAATTACGAGAAAATTTCAAATCTTGGGCACGTTAACGTGCAAAAGGAAAAACGACAAAAATTCTCGCCAAACTGCTTGAACAATAAAACATCCCCTGTAAAACAGTTTTTCAATTGTCCTTCTTTAATTCTTAAATATTATGGTAATATATAAAAATGAATTGCTGTTCGTTAGTTTCGCTAAAACTCGAGAACGGCTGGACCGATTTGGCTTTGAATTATTCGTGGAAGTCCAGAGAAGGTTTAAAAGATAGATAAATATGAAAATGCTCGGAATTAAATAAAAATTTTGTTTTTCTTTTGATCTGTCCTCCGTCTGGCGGATTCCTTTTGTTTGTTTTAAGTTTATTTTATACAAAAGTTTAGGTCTTTTATTTATCGATTGAGGCACTACAAAGTCTGCCGGGTCAGCTAGTAGTAATATATAAGTAAATTCTTCTTAAATAGTAATACGCAGTGCAGCGCAACTGGTCTAAAAGTTTTGCTTATGAAGTGGACTTCGTACTGGTTAGTTGCGAACAATTTACCGGAGGCGGACCCCTTGAGGCAACTATCGTTGAACTACTTGAGATTTTCGGCACGAAAATGGAATTTAATAATCCGAATTCAAAGTTTGGCGAGCGTCTTGCTAGGCAGGAATAGAGTGAAGAGATCTAACTTCAATTTCATCGTCAGTGGCGGTGGAGCTATGAAATATCCTTCTTCAAACAACGTTGGAAGATCTTCAATGTTAGGAACGAGGGAAGAAAAAAAACCAGTACTAACCTAAATTTGTATCCAACTCCTACGCCGTGAGCTTCATCTGCAAAGAACATAAATTAATTAAAAAAATCTTCGTACACAAATTAATTAATTTTGAATTCCGACCAGTGTCAACAGACATTTTTACTGGTGGTAGTGTGTGAGTTCACACGGGTAGATACCACCATCCTGACTATTTCCGCGGTGAAGCAGTAATGCGTTTCGGTTTGAAGTGAGTCCCTGAGTCTAGGGGATTTGACAGATGTGTGAAGGATATCCTATTTAACAATCTCTAGTTATCAATATTTGTAATTTCAATTGTGTTTTCAATAGCCAAAGCTATGGATATTAATATGGTTTTGCTGAGTGCACATACTATTTAGATTGCAATTCAGATTAGATCTAGGTACTACTTGTATGATTTAGCTAATATGTACTGTAATGATTGTAATTTGTTATGTGCATCAATAAAGTAAATAAAAAAAAAACACTTTTTATATACACATCACATCAAAGAAGCAATATGGCTTCGAACATCAACGTGAAACGACAAATCACATCTGAATGACACTGCAATGATCACTGCCCAAGAACGAACACTGCATCTTTCGGATTTACAAAGTCCTTAAAGATTTCCAGCTTGAATTTTCATTTCATCCAAACTCGAAAAATTCTCGTAAAATGTTCCGTGTAGTTAAAAAAATTAACAGAAAAAGAAAAAAAAACTCATCCACTCTAAAAACTATTAAAACAGCGATCACGAAACGATTTTAGTTCGAGAGTTCCCTCAACTATACATTGCACTACAAACTTTTCGAACTCAGCGAAGTTGCCGTACCACTAATCCATACCCAACTTTATTAATACGGCCCACTGAACGGAACTTTGACGATGGATACTCGACTCGACTGCTCTGTGCTTAGAGTTGAAAATACCAAGTCAAGCTAAGCGCGGATAGAGTTCATTTTCGTGATCTTAACTCGATCCAGTCTTTAATGGCGAAGGCTTATTTTTTTCATTTTTGTATCCCAGCCTTTTTTCAGTTGGTCAAAGTTTCTCTCTGCGGCTTTATATTCTGAAAACTTTTTATATATTTAAGACTGTAATTTGTGTAGGTTGAGCTTTAATTAAAATACGAATGAGCTTTCGTGAAATTTCGAAGCTTCCTTTCTGAGGCCGATCTTTTGAACTGATATCGGGCCGAGGAAGTTAATTTTAGCAACGTTACGTATTTTATTTTATGAGTCTATATATTTTATCTATATGGGATATCTTTAGTATAGTATTAGCTGTAGTATAGCTTCTCAAGGCTATCAGCTTAGGAAATAATAAAAAGTATAGTAGAACGCTGATAATTCTAGCATTACCATGTCATTAACACATTGAGATCAATATTCTTGTTGACAATTATTCTTTGAACCACCAAGTCACCTCTGGTTCGGAATAAAATTGAGATCTCAACCTCAGGATAGCATGTGCAATATGATGTCTATGATCTCCAATAACTAAACCAGATATTCCGTGAGCTTATTTACCCATAAATCCAGTAAATAAAAAAGCCTTGTGGTAAAATTTCAACTGAGTGTAGTGTGCTTTTAAAATTTCATATATGAGTAGGTATAATCTGTTAGTTTTTTTATTTTTATTTTTTTATGATTGAGAGATTACTTGTGGCCCAGAGGCCTTTCCAGCTTCACCAGGACAGGTGGGCGAGCAAAGGCTCAGCCAGGAGGGGTGGGATTTGCTTAAGAACTGCCCGAGCGCCTCCGAAGGAGACCTAGCAACTCAAGAGCAATTGCTTCGCGAATGAATCTACTACCGGATCGGAATCGCGACCCACTGAGAAGATCTGGCGAGAAACTCAGCGGGCAGATCCGGCGAGAAACTCATCAGTTAGTTGTTTTGAGAATAGTGAAATGATATTACGGATCATATTATAATATACATGAAGTACCAAGAAATAAATGGACGGAATGTTTCCTTTCAAAACCACGGTTCGAACTGAGTTCGAGCGATTTCCCGGACAAGCGGTTACGGAAGTTTGAAAATTGAATTTCTGTGTAGCGGTGGACAATTTAACTTTATATATTTTTTTAATATTGTTATAGATATTTTAAAGTGCCCATGGTCCAGTTAATTTTAAGTGGCTAATCGAATTCCATTGATATCGCGACAAGAATGTCGTTACATATCTTTAGAAATAAAGTCCGAATCATTTGGAAGGGAAATTATCATACTCTTCAAACTGTAGGAATTCCCTCAGGTTAGAGCCCCGTGAGCTCACCTACTCGCCCGGTTACGCTGGGATAACGCCCTAGGTGATCAGCACAGATAGAAAAAAAATAATTTAATTCATTCATTCCCAAGTCACCCGGAAGAAATCATTGTGATAAAATATGACATTTGTGCTTACTGTTTTTTCTTTACATTACTTATTTATCTTATGTACAATGAAGTGTAAAACAAATAAATAAAATAACCTAAATAGCCTAATAAAATAAATTAAAGTACTACCCAATTTTAGTGCACGTAGTGTATTTCATAATGCAGTGTCCCATGTCGCGAATACAAACGAGTAATTCTCAAACGCGATTTAATTTGACATCAACTTCAATTCCCTTAATACTAATCGCGAATAGGTCTAGTTTAAAGTATTTTTTTTTAAAGACTACATTAACAGGATTGAAATTTGATTAAAAAAAAATTAAAAAAATATTTATAAATATTTTTCATTTCACATTTCTGTCATATACAATCACCGGTCTTCGTCGAAACCGTCGCTTGCGACAAAGGGTTCGACGAGCGAACTAACCCACCAACACAGCCCACTGAGTTTCTCGCCGGATATTCTCAGTGGGTCGCGTTTCCGATCCAGTGGTAGATTCTGCGAAGCACTGCTCTTGCTAAGATCAGTGCTAGCAACACTCCGGTTTGAGCCCCGTGAGCTCACCTACACGTTAGGGTGAAGCTTAAATAGCCTCTGAAGGCTATCAGCATAGGTAGGAAGAGAAAAAAAGAAGAATACAATCACCATCATCATATCGTTTAATAATTACCCCGCAATTTTAACTCGATTCAAACTTTAGATACCTTCGAAGAACATCCGTTATACGATACCACGTTATTATTCAATTTATTTTGTTTACATGAATTCAGTTTAGAATTATTATTGTGTTTCCTGTTATTCTCTCAGTACAAGCTTAGTAACAAGCTTCTGTTTTTTTTACTGTAATACTGCTTCTCGTTTTGGCAGAGAAAACTTTTATCGCCGTCATTATTAGCCCACAGTCCACAGCTGGACAGGCCTCTCCTAATTTAAGCTACTGAGTCGGGTCTTTGGCTCTCTTCAAGCACTTCTTCCGGCTATCTTTCTAAAAATTATAACTATACCTGCTTGAGACGTCCCTACATAATATTGCATGGTCCTCAATGAAAAACCCGTCTACAAAACGAAAACGTCAGTTCTGCGGGATATCTCCATCCCACCGCCACTTCAGGTTGCCAACTGTTTGGTTTATATCAATGGCTTTAGGCCTCTATCGAATAACCTTATGCCTGATATTATTGTTAAGCCGGTAAAAGTAACGCCATCTGCCATCAAATTGCAGAAACGAATATCAAAAGAACTAGTAATATCGAGAACGCTCGAGAAGTTTTACGCCATCTATTATCAAATAGCGGAAACACGTCATATTGAAACGACTGGTCCTACCGGTAATATTCTCGATAATTATAAACTTGTCGTGTCCACTATAACAGCGTTGCAGATGTGACAGTTAGTAAACGGATCTACTAGAAGAGAACATCGGTGTGCTCTTTGTGATCACCAACAAAAACTAAACTAAGATACTTACATACGTAGTCCTCCACTAATTACCCCTCCCAGAACATTAGATAGATATTACGCTGATTATTTAATGCGATATCTTTATAATGCGGTCATAACTCACCTCCGCTCGCGATATTCCGGACGTGCCCCGGGGAATGAGTATCGGTGTCAGACCTGAAAACAATAGCGGAATATTAAATTATGAATTTCACAAGTAAATTTCCCTGGTAGCGTGATTTTTCGGAGGATATTTTTCCTTGTAGTCCCGGAAGGAGTAAACAGTTACAAAAGTTTTATTTTTATTTATTTACTAGCTGAGCCGGCAGACTTCGTAGTGCCTCAATCGATAAATAAAAGACCTAAACTTTTTTTAAATAAACTGAAACAAAAGGAATCCCTCCCAACGGGGGACACATCAAAGGAAAAACAAAATTGTTATTTTTATTCAATTCCGAGCATTTTCATATTTATCTACCTTTTAAACCTTCTCTGGACTTCCACAAATATAATAATTCAAGACCAAAATTAGCCAAATCGGTCCGGCCGTTCTCGAGTTTTAGCGAGACTAACGAACAGCAATTCATTTTTATATATTATTATATAGATAGATTGCTTAGATCGATTGACGAGCTCATAGCCCACCTGGTGTTAAGTGGAGCCCATAGACATCTACAACGTAAATGAGCCACACACCTTGAGATATAAGTTCTAAGGTCTCGGTAGTTACAACGGCTGCACCACCCTTTAAACCGAAACGCATTACTGTTTCACGGCAGAAATAAGCAGGGCGGTGGTACCTACTCGTGCGGACTCAGAGGTCCTACCACCCATAAATTCTCCAGTTATTTCTCTGTCTATTAAATGGTCGATAACGTATGTATATTAAGAGCAAATAGGAGACAAAAATATGTACGTACACCTAAACCTCCAATAACGGTAGTAGTTGATAGTATTAGAAGCTTTCCCGGAAATCACTGTGATTAAATGTGTTAATGACGCAAAAAAGTGGTATGCTCCGTTTGAAGATTAGGACAGCAGCTGTAAATACAATGATCATTATGATTTCGAGCTCATGTATCAAGGTGGATGGCGGAATTAACTTCATAGAGTCTTTGGACACCTTTTTTTTTTTTTTTTTTTTTTTTTTTTTTTTTTTTTTTTTTTTTTTTTTTTTTTTTTTTTTTTTTTTTTTTTTTTTTTTTTTTTTTTCCGCCCGACATGTCGTCGCCGGACCTGCGTCGCCCTCGCGATTTCTGCAAAGATCGTCCGGAGTGTTGGCCGCATGCATGGTCCGACTGCCGAGCGGTATCGACAAGCCCGTGCGGCCGTACATACTGAAGGCTAATCGCGCCTGCGATAGAAAAGTCGCACAAGCCGGTCCCCCAGAGCACCGAAGACCAAATCCCAGACCCGGCCGTGAATACCATCAGGGCCGGGGGCCGCGTCCTTCCTCCTCATCTTTGACACGGCCGCACGGATCTCTGCCCCCGAAATCTTCGGAGGGGGCACGTCGGCAGGGGCATCACCACCATCGTGACGTGGT